ACAGGAGCACAAAAATACGAGGAACAGAAGAAATTCAAGGACTCCAGACCGGAGGACGTCAAGACCAGCCGTCCCAGGCAGAAACGCAAAAGCCAACAACCAGACGATTACTCCGTCAAGAGGCCAGCATGTAGAGGACGCAAAAGAAAGATCAACGGGGACGACACTCGGAGATCAACAAGGAGAAGATTGACATCCATGACACCTCTAACTTGGGATCAATTTTGTCAAAAACGGAATGACGGAGTTTCAAGCATCGAAAACTCAAAGATAAGTTAAAACCTTCTATAAATTTTTTTTCTCTTTTGTTCCGAAATGTTATGCATAAGTACGAAGTTCTATGTTTTGACGAAAGTCAATATGTCTCGGTTGAGACTTAGTTTTGTTTTACTTTATTTAGCTAAGGCAAAAGTATTATTTTCTTTAAGTGTAAAAGCTAAAAACAAGCATTTTCTGTTGGTCGAAAGACTAATTCTGTTATGTTAAAGCCAAAATTTGGCCGGAGATAAAAATAACTTCGTATTCTTGTATGTACTAATAAGAATTTTAGTTTCAGTGCCGCCAGCTTGGCGAAGAATGAGTAAAGTAAAAATTTATTTTCTCTTATTCATTTTATGGTAAATTGTAAAAAGCATATGTATTAAAATTTTGTAAATGTATGTAAATACTTGCATGTTATGTAAAAGTAGAATTTAGTCTAGAAGCATAAAATTGTAGATGCTAAAAGTGAATGCTTAAAAGCAATGAAGTCAAAATTTAAGTATTAAACTGTAAAGTCATGCTTTAGAGCGAAAGCCTGCATGTTTAAAAGATGAATGAGGGGGAAGTTAGAATGAATGTGTTTTTGTAGGGTTCTCCACCTACATTTGAATTTTTAAGAATATTAAAGTAGCTCATTGAGTTGTAGAATGTCGAGTAAGGTGTGTCTATTTGGTTGTTGAATTCTAACAAATCATGGTGGTTAGGGGAAGTGTTGTAAGACTAAAACACGAATATTCCCGTTTGACACCACACACGGTGGAGAGCCAGGGTAAAGTTAAATTAATGCTTGAAAAATTGAATGAATGTGAAGTAAGCAATAACTAAGAAAAACGAAACGTTAAAAACAAAAATTTATTGTGTCAAGAAAGTGTAAATTATAATGTATGTAGAAAGATACTGATACTTATTCCTTCCAGATGCTGGAAGGAAAGACCAAGATTGATTGATGAAGTCCAGGAAAAGTTGCTGTAAGAAGAAAGCTTTGTAAAGAGTAACAGAATTTTAATTGTTACATAAGATTATTTTTGTGTAAACGAGGCTTTCGCCAGTTAGTTCAGAATTAGATAAACTTACAACAGGTCGTTTGTAGGACCTGCTTCCAAGTTTTCCAAATTCTGGCAGCGGCAAATGTAGGGTTTATATTTATTTTAACTAACATTTATTTTAAGTTTAAACTATCTTTCCTGTCAATCCTTACTTTCCCCTGGAACTGCCAATGCCAGAATATGTAAATTTGAGTAGAACGCGCAAGCATTCAAATTATCAGCGGAAGTAGTATGATTTAAATAGAAGGAAACAAGTTCGGTGAGGGAGAGTTATTCTTACTTAGCGAGCGCGGAGGTAGTTATAGAGATTTGAAAAACCCCGCGTTGCGGCCTATGTGCTTGGCGGGAAGTAGTTGCAATTGTTCCAGTGAGCTTCAAGTCTGCTGAATTAGCAGCCGTATTGTAAAACGCGGTGAGTTAGTTATTTGAGAGAGCCTCGTAGTTAGAATATTGTCTTTAATTTCTTTTCAGGTTTTTATTTTTATTTTGACTGCCGAGTTGGCACCGTTTGTAAGCGTCAAGAGAACGCAATTGTAAATTAGTACGTTGAATAAAAAGGGACTTAAACCCTTTATAAGACTCTGTGGTTTATACAAGCTTTCACAGTCACCTCTTGGTTGCGTGCTAGTTAGAGGCGCGCAACGTTATATGCTGAATCATGAAAGTATAGTAAATTCTTGAATTAATGTCTTTTTACAAATTTATTGTCTTGATTTATTGGTTTTTTACAAAATTTTAAGCGATATTAAAAATAAAAAATAAAAAATTCTTAGAGCTAACATTTATTAAAATTTTTTTATGTGTATACTGTATGTTGTCGCCAATACAGTCTGCTTGGCGAGATTTGCGCCTGCGAAACGGAAAAGTACCATAGAAACTATTTCACTATGTTGTTGTTGTTATTAGTTTCGCTTGTCTAACAATAGTCAGCACAAGCCTACGACATTCATAGTGGCAAAGAGTCAAATGCGCCTTGAGCACTATACAGGTGACAGCTCGACTCAGTTTCGCCCCCAATTTTGAAACCCTGGGGGGGATGTGTCGAGTATCTCCCACCCCTTTTTTTCCTGCCACCAACCTCTCGAGAGAAATTTCAGCTGGTCGCATACTGAGAGTGCCCCCATGCCGCAGGACATTTACAACATGCATGTCTTCTCCGGGATTCGAATCCGCGCCCTTCAGTACGGCAGTCAGCGTCACCGTATCAGTGTTGAATACAGAAATAAATAAAATAAAATAAAAAAGATTTTAATACCATAAGTTTTTTTAAACGGATATGATAATTAAGGCATTAAAAAGGAGAAAAATAATTTATCATATACTTTAATGGGAATAATAGATTAAATAATTCTATACACAGAAATTCATCTACAGTTTTATACCGCGAATAATAAAAGTCAAGGTCGCTTATGATAAATTAAAAAAGATAATAACTTATACATTTGTCAAAGCAATTAAATTTATTAGATTGCGTTATTTAGGCGATTTCCTTATTTTCCAAGATGGCGAACTCAAAAGCACTCTTTTTCCCGAGAAAAGGTTAAAAAAAAAAAAATAATAATAAAAAAAAAAACCCACGAGCGATGTTCAGTAATTCCTTACAAATTCAAAAATTCAGTTACAGTTTTCGTACAGGTTTCATTGAAAAGGTATTTCCCTCTCCTCTATTTGATGGTACACACAGTAAAATTCTAATATATTTAGTTTGTTTGTTAGACGAAAATATGCGCGAAAAATCGTTTAAACATTAAATAAAAAAGAATCTAAATCGAATTTTGAAGAAAAAAATCTCTTTAACACATTGCATAGTGGTGGCAGTGAAACAAACAGCAGAGCAAAAAATTTGAACTCGATAGCTTGTAGTAGTAGGTTAAAAATAGTAGGAGTTAGTAGGTTAATAATAGTAGGTAAAAAATGGATCACTCAAAATCAAACTCCGTGAGTGAGCTAAATAAAAGCTTATAGAAAGATATCTTGCTCAATAATGAATGCATATTTGTTACGAATTTTGCACTTACATAGGTAATTTTAGTAGAATTATAAGTAAAATTGTTCTATTTCTTTTGTAACATGAAAAATCTAAAGAGAAGCTATGCCAGAAAAGTAAAAATACAAGTGCTAGCGCATTTAACATTGAGTAAATGGGTATCTCTGTAATTTGGCGAGATATCGCCAAGCTGACAAGGGTTTTCGCGTCTTATAGTGTCACTAAATTTGGCGACATTTTGGTCCGGTCCCTCTATTACCGTAATACGTATCGGAATTGAATAAGAGTAATTGACCACTATGTCAGCTGTAATCGTAATTCCAACCTCGTATTGCTTTACAGTAATTTCGAGAAACAGAAAGTACTAGAAATATCTTGGCGGCCGATTGAAAGCTTTTTAAGGCCGAAAAGAGAGCATCTACTCTTAGTTGCTTAGTTATTGTTGTTGCGAGTTGTAGTTTCGCATAAATTGAGATAAATCCAAATTTGCTTTCTCTTTAGATGCGCTTTGCATTGCATTGCGTTTAACGTTCTTAGTAGTTTGAAGCGTAACTACTGATTATACTGTGAGATACTGTGAACACGTGTACGAACATTTCTGTGGAAAGTTCCAGAGTTCTGAAATATTGCTTTTGATAAAAATAAATTTTATGAACCTCTTATCGGACTTGTGCATTCAATCTATTACCAACCCGTACGCACGCAACAATATAAAGTCAATCAATCATAATGCATACCTAAGATAAAATAATGATGCATACATCTCTGAGTTATATACCGGGTGATCAAAAAGTCAGTATAAATTTGAAAACTTAATAAATCACGGAATAATGTAGATAGAGAGGTAAAAATTGACACACATACTTAGAATGACATGGGGTTTTATTACAACCATAAAAACGTTTACTGTTATCGGGCCTTTTTTCTTCGAGGAAATGCGTGATTCTGGTTTTGTAACTGCTACCGTGACGGGTGAGAGGTACGCTGATATGTTACAGAATCGCCCAGACTGGCTGATAAACACCTGCTGGAACGTACGATTTTTATGCAAGATGGCGCTCCACCCCATATTGCTAGACGCGTCGTTTGGTGATGATCGTGTGCTCAGCTGCCACTTTCGTCATGCTTGGCCTCCCAGGTCCCCAGACCTCAGTCCGTGCGATTATTGGCTTTGGGGTTACCTGAAGTCGCAAGGGTATCGTGATCGACCGACATCTCTAGGGATGCTGAAAGACAACATCCGACGCAAATGCCTCACCATAACTTCGGACATGCTTTACAGTGCTGTTCACGACGTTATTCCTCGACTAAAGCTATTGTTGAGGAATGATGGTGAACATATTGAGCATTTCCAGTAAAGAACATCACCTTTGCTTTGTCTTAATTCGTTATTCTAATTATTGCTTTCCTGATCAGATTATTGCTTTTCTAATTATTGCTTTTCTAATAAAACCCCATGTCATTCTAAGTATGTGTGTCAATTTTTACCTCTCTATCTACATTATTCCGTGATTTTTTAAGTTTTCAAATTTATACTGACTTTTTGATCACCCGGTATATGTTATGTAAAGAGACGAAATGGCTCTCCTTTCTACTCACTCTGTTTCACAGATCACTCCCTTACAGATCAGCTGCGATAAATATATGTATAATTAATGTTCATATCTCAAAGAGTAGTTAAACTATATGAAATAAAATATTCTAAATATTCTCTTCATTTCTCTCATCGCTTTAGATGCGTTCTGGTCTACAGGCTCTCAGCCAGCGAATCATCGGAAGCAATACTATTGTCCAAGGAGCTCTGCCTGCTATTCTAAGAGATACTCCAGAAACCTTCTTTGAAGATAGCATCGAAACTGTACAGGTATGCTTAATTTGAATTTTTTTTTTTTTTTTTTTTTTTTTTTTTTTTTTCAGAATGCACCTGTAGTGGCAATATCTCAGACAGTCTTAAAATACAGCTAGCAAATAAGATGTATAATTAGAAGTTAAACAAAATTATTTGGTATCTTTCATATACCACACACACTCTACTTGTCGATAGTTGCTTTTCCGAACTATTAGTATAATGGTATTCGCAATAAAGCTGGAACTCTTGGCTGCAAATGGAACCAAAAATTAAGACTTATGGGCAAAAGTTGCTAAAATTGGATTTGGTACTGAGAAGAGCATTTGATTGGCCTTTTGTGATAGCTGCTGTTAATAAACCAATAATAGGTATTGACATTTTGTCTCACTTTCACCTTTTGGTTGACAGCAAAAGTCGTAAATTAATTCATGGCAACCACTTCATTGTCCTCTATTGGTGACCCCTCCTATGATGTCGTTTTCATCAATGGTTCATGCAGTACGAAATCAGTATGAAGTAATCCTTACACAATTTCCAGGTCTTTTGCGATCAATACTCGTCAATAATAAAATAAAAAGTCACAACAGTGAACATTTCATTGAAACTAAGGGAGCTCCTGTTACGACTAGGATCAGAAGACTCTCAGCTGAAAAATTAGAAGCAGTAAAAGCCGAATTTGAGTTTATGTTGCAACAAGGTCTTTTCAGGCCTTCAAAAAGTTGTTGGGCTAGTCCTTTACATCTCAACCTAAAGAAATCAAGTGACTGGAAGCTATGTGGAGATTACAGGGCTCGATATTACCACTCCTGATCGATATCCTCTACCGTTCCTCACTCTAGAGCTTATTAGCACGAGTAATTTGAGCTTTCCAGTGCACAAAAGTGACGTCCCCAAAACAATCATTGGGATGTTTAAATTCCCATTCATGACATTTGGTTTACGCACAGACATTATCAGACAGATTACATTGTATGGTTTGGCACAGACATTTCAGCGATTCATGAATATGATACTATCAGGGTTAGATTTTACATTCTGCTATTTAGGTGACATACTAATCGCTATTCAAAACGAAGAGTCACACCGTAAGCCCTTACACACAGTTTTTTAAAGGAAACGACTATGGTTTATGCATCAATGTTGAAAAATGTATTTTTGACACTTCTAAACTTAATTATTTGGTGTATGAAATCACAATTGAAGGATTAAGACTTATTACGACGAAAGTTTATGCCATACAAAACATACCTAAACCCACATCAACCCCCAGCTTGCGCAGGTTCTTAAAGATGATCAATTTTTATCACCGCTTCATCCCAAAGTGTGCCAAGCTTCAACAACCTTTAACCTCACTACTCAGTGGAAGACGCAAAAATAGTAAAATACCACTAACATGAACTAAAGATTCTCGCAATGCATTCCAAAACCTCAAAAATGCGCTTTGTCATGCTATAAGGTATTTCCCTGCCTTCTTCGTATGCTTTCATGGTGTGGTGGTCTGTACGCTGGGGCGCGTATTCCAGAGGTTCGTGGTTCGATTCCCGACGAAGGCGTTGCATATTTTTCATCTTCTCTGCTTTCCCCAAAAAATCGTAATGTCTCTACAGTGGCGTTCGAAGTAAAAGGATGGTGGATGGTGATTCTCTACACCCAAGATTTGGCGACTGGGACCTTAAAACCCCAGTCGTTTTTCAAAGGGATAGTATATAAGGTATTTCTCCCGTCTTCTTGTCATGTCTTCGTGGTGTGATGGTCTGCATGCTGGGCGCGTATTCTAGAAGTCCGTGGTTCGATTCCCGGCGAAAGCGTTGCACACTTTTCGTCTTCCCTGCTTCCAAAAAAATTCCTAATGTCTCTACAATGCTACTATGCTCGTTCATCCGTCAACTGACGCTACTATATCTCTCACATGCGATGCTTCAAATACAGCTATCGGGGACTGCACTGACCAGGAACAGATGCGCCCATTAAGTTTCTTCTCATGCTACGCAAGTGACACACAGAGATAGTACAGCGCACATGATCGAGAGCTCTTGTCCACCTATACTGCAATAAAGCATTTTAAGTGCATATTAGAGGGAAGGTCTTTCAGCATTTATAAGGACCACAAACCCATCACCTTCTCTTTTCAACAAAATTTAGACAAAGCCTCTCCCACAGAAGACAATTGAGTTAAATTTTCAACGAATATTCGTTCCGTCAAGGAAGAAGAAAACGCTGTTGTAAATGCTTTTTCCAGAATTAATACCATATCTAAATGATTACGCAACTACTGCAGAATTTCAAGATGTTGAAGAGTAAGAATTTTAAAAAACAACCCAAGGCTCAGAATGGTTCAGATTCTCATTCCAGGCACCGACAAATCGATTGATTGTGATACCTCCACCAACAGTAAACTCCCATACATCTCCTCAAATTTTCGCCAACAAATATTTTCTTCTATTCACACCCTATCTCATATAGGGATTAGAAGCACAAGAAAATTAATCACGGAAAGATTCATGTGGCCAAATATCAATAAAGATTATTAGTTATGGTGTAGGGAACATATGGAATGCAAACGATCTAAGGTTCAAAGACATACAAAGTCAGCTGTTATGGACTTCAAGGTTCCATCTGAACGTTTTCCACACGTTCACATTGATATTGTTGGACCCTTGCCTTCATGCCAAGGTTTCAGATACTTACTAACGATGACTGATCGTTTTTTAAGATGGGTTGAAGCCCTTCCCATGGAAGATCAATCAGCAGTAACAATTGCAAAGGGGATGATCTCAGCCTGGATTTCTCGTTTCGGAATACCACAGCGTATTACATTTGATCAAAGACATTAGTTTGAAAGTCAACTCTTCTTATCTTTGAGCAAATACTTCCGTTTCAGAAATCCAGAACAGCAGCATACTATCTACAGTCGAACGGACTGATTAAGCGACAACACAGGATTATAAAGTTTATTATTGAAATGTCATTTACAACAAAACAAATCTTGGGTAGACGCTTTCTTTACCTTTGGTTCTTCCCAAATTACGCTTTGCACTGAAAAGATACTCTTCAGCCGAGCTTCTGTACGGAAGTCACCTCTGTTTACTCGAAAAATTCGCCACTACGATTCCAAATGCAGCACCCCTAGTTGAGTTTTAGGGGGTGTTGCATAATATCACACACTCAGATTTCGTGCAAAGGCTACAAACTACTATCCGTAACATGAAACCTTCTGCAACAATATCCATGGCAATACAACTGTATTCGTTTCAAAACACCTTCTGAATTGCTCACATGTTTTCCTCTACAATACTGCGGCCTCTTCATCTTTACAACCAGTTTATCTTGGGCCTTATGTATCAAACACCAAGCACCAAAATATTTTACACTGAAATTAATGGAACTGTCAAAAGAATTGCAATTTATAGACTGAAACCATGTTTTGACCATAAAAGACAATGATGAGCAGCCTCCTGAAACCGACAGGCACAGATCCGCACACACAAGGACGAACCTGGAGGAAAATTTCGCTGCCGGTGTCGATCACACGCAGTGGAAAGACGTCAGGTTTCCAAAAGATTATGTCTCCTAATCGTTTTCTCACTGGAAAGGGAGTGTATAGAGTCCTCTATGTTTCCTCTTCATCTTATTTTTAATTTCTGTACGTTTTAATTTTCGTAAGATGGCAACATTGAATTTCGTAAGTTGACCACAGTTGTTGCTGGGGTACCACTTGTTGCCCAGCAACAACTGGTAGATTATTTGATTTGATTTTGATGAAAAATAAACAAGTAATCTTCTTTTTCTCAAGTCATTGTATCATCTAATTTTATTCATTTAAAAAGTTAAAAGTTTATTGCGGGTAAAAGATTAATATAAGATATCCAATTCGATGTTAAATAATGCGTTGGTGCAAATTAATTTCAATCAGTTTTCCATAAGTAATAGACAAGTTGTATTTGTGTAATTTTAAACGGCAATGCAAAAGCTTCTGCATATTTATATCTAACATAATGAATATATATTTAATTTTCTTAAAAATTGAATTGAATTTTGAGTCATTTTACTAATATTTTATCAGCGTCATATTTATAATTTTATGTATGATTCAAAATTGTATCACGCATTTCGTAACCTTAACAATGCAAAAAATACTTCTCATTTCTGAATAACATTACATTCTTTATGACCGTTAAATTAAAATCCTTATTTATTCCCCGATTTGAAAAGTACAACAGATAACCACTGAAACACTTTTAATAAACTAGTTAAAAATAACTTTTTATTTTGGATTACTTATATATTCTATATTTTTTATTTTTGTTGAACTGATTCTGTCCTCATAAAATGCTAGAAAGTAAAATTTTCTTTTCTTTTTAAACAGAGGAATGCCTTACTAGCTCATTCGATGCTGTGTGAAGTGCCTGGATTGCGTCCAATCATGCCCTCTGGAGCAATGTACATGATGGTAATGTGCATCAAAAATATTTTTAGTACATCCATCTTCAACTTCTAAAAAATCTTAATCGACTTTATAGAGGCATTAGTACTTTGGAAGCAGGAGAGATGAAAAATGAACAATGCCCTCGCCGGGACTCGAACCTCGAACCTCTCGAATTCGCGCCGAGTGTGCTGACCACTACACCACGAAGGCATGCTAAGAAGGCGGGAGAAATACCTTATAACTTGAGAAAAAAGAACTCCATAGAAATTACCGAGAAAGCCTTATCAACTCTTTAAAAGATATTCAACAATTCACTACAGGAAATGACATTACAAGTTAGATATTTTAGTAATTCGATCTGCTCTGGAATCTAAAGCCGCAATTTTTACAGAAGTCTTACTGAGCTTATTAGGTATTTCTCCCGGCTTCCTTGCGTGCCTTCGTGGTATAGTGGTTCTGCACGCTGGGCCGGTATTCCAGAGGTCCGTGGTTCGATTCCCGGCGAAGGCAGTTGCTCAATTTTCATCTGTCCGGCTTTCCCAATTAACCTAATGTCTCTACAAGCTAAAGATGAATATATTTTACTTGAAATAAGTTTTCTTATCCAATCCTCTTGGTATGTATTTTGTATCATGAATTTCACTAGTCGTTAATAGATTTGGTAAGATTTGTGCCAGTTTAGAGTAGCATCAGAATGCTAGAAGTTGTAAAGTAGGTGTTTCAATTTATGCAAATAATGCAGAACAGGGTTCATAACTTTTAAAAAAATACTTTTATGAAGCATAAATGAGATCTTTGTTGAGATGATTGAAACTTTTCATGAGTGTATTTATACTGATGTTTAATTCTTTGCTATCATATGAAACAGAGAAAATTAAGAAGAAACTTTAATAACTAATAAATTAAAAGAAATTATACTTCAATTATTGAATTGATCTTTAAGTTCTATTATTTTATTTTAATTTGTCATAAAATATAAACAGCATGTACATTTCTTTTAAAGGTCGGAATACAAAACTCTTGTTTCCCTGCTTTTAAACATGATATGGATTTCGTAGAATGTTTGATGTCTGAGCAATCCGTATTTTGCCTTCCTGGACTGGTAGTTTTCATTTTCTTATTTATGAATTTTTATAATACTTAGTATTAAGTATATATATTAGTATTAAGTATATTTAGTATTAAGTATATATTATTAATTAAGTATATAATAAGAAATTATGCTAAATATCTTTATTTTAATATTGCTGTGTTCTTAATATATCTTTATGTGTATTCGTCAGTGCTTTATGTATATGGATAAAAAAGACGAAAACAAAACAAAAACAAAAAAACAAAACAAAACAAAACAAAAAAAAAAACACTTGCGGTCTGAGAATTATGATACAAAATTCAATTTAACAATGTAAAGAAAAATCTAAAACAAAATAGAATAGAGCGTTGTCTATATATAAAGAAGAAATCTCGTATATAAAGAAGAAAGTCTGTGTGTTTGTTCGCTAATAACTCAGTTATTTCTATAGCTATCGTCACCAAACTTTCTGCAATTCTTTTCTGGGTCCTTGGAAAAGATCGATGTCCACTATATCCGGAAAAAAAAGCTAAAATCAGAGATACTAATTAAAAATGCTTAAAACGCTAATTTTCTCTCTCATTTTTCCTAGTGGCAACAGTGCTGATATGATGAGAGAGAATTAGTTTATTTTTTGTCGAAATTTTTATGTGGGTTCTATATCGCTCAAAATAATTCATTTTGTTAAAAATAATGATGTATTTGTTTTTATTTTTGCTGACACAAACGGCAATTCTATATGTCATATGGGTACATATATTACCATATGATTCTATGATGACGTAGTCAGTTGTGGTACATGTACTGAATAATACTTTGTTTTCTTTGGCATTTTGTATGCATTACAATGATGCTTCATATTCCTTATGACGTGTAATATGCTATTATACGAATTTTCAAATGATAAAGAGTAAAATAATACATTAGTTTGAATCTAACTTACCTCGCATCGGGTACTTCCGCTAGTATTATACATGTATTGATGTGCAGAATTATAATACACCTTACTCACAGATCCATTGTTACGAATATAATTCGTGTTATTGTGGATCAATGCATATGCATATCTCAGTATAAACAGCAATGATATACACACAGAATGCATCATTTATAATATGAAATGCGAAAATATAAGTGCCCTTCTAAAGACTGTCATTGATTATTCGCAACATACTCTTGCTCTGAAAGTTTAATGAAAATCAGTTAGTGGCGGAGAAGAGTTGAAACTGTCGAAAAAGGTTTCGAAAACAGCATCTGTGAGAGATGGCAAATGTTCAGAACTGTCAGCAAAAAATATTCGTAGATAATACTAAATAGGTAATTAACCACCAAACTCGGAGTAGTTAAATGAGAATAAGAAAGTTTTATGTTTATCGTAAGCTGATCCTGTGATACGAGACTTTAATTTGTGCCATTCTCCAAAAAAATGCTTTCAGGATGGAATCGACTACATTTCCTTTAGAACTTAGACGGTCAATCAAAAGTTCTTTTTACAGAAGAATCACGGTATTTTTCAAAAGAGTAAGCTACTACGTACGAAACAAACTTTAAACTCTCATAGACTACCTGGCAATGAAAAGCGAAAATCTAAAAGCAATCTAAATTAAAAAGAAAAAAGAATCATTCAGTACAGTCAGTCTTGACAGGGTCTCTTTAATAACTACAAGTCACAAATACCTATCTTCTGAAGTAACCTTATAAATTCCGCTACAAATTTTAATATTCTACAGAGATTCTTGGCTAGGCCTAGCGACAATGGAATGCTTCACCAACTGAGTACAAATGCTGATAGCCATATAAAAGGCAGATAGCAACTCGCTGGCGATAAGTAAGTAAGTTTGGAATTCCTGACATGCTCTTAACTGGCAAAACCTTCCAAATATTCCATCAAAATAAGTGAAAAAGTATGTTTGCGTGAACGTAGTTTGTCTGGCAATACATTACAATATGATGCCTATTTCGCAAAGACCCACTTTAAAATGCGTTCCCGCTCACACAGGGATTCAAGGCAAGGAAGCCGCTGACCTACTGGCCAAGTAGGCAGCCAACTGCACAGATATATTAGAAAGACCAACTAAACTTCCTTGGTCTCATATTAAGCGAACAACTTTGACAAATCTGCTACAAAATTGGCAAAGTAGATGGACAGAGGCAGAGGGTAGGACGAAGACCATTTCGCTTATTGCCAAAAGTTAACATGGAAATAAAGACCCACTGTGCTAGCTTAACACAGTTCTTGACAGGTCATGGACCATTCCCAGTATACCTGAACAGATTCAGACTTAGGGATACTCCTTTCTGAGAATACAAGAACATACAAGAACCTGGCACTTGAAGAAACCAGCGGACTGTGCCTGGGCAATGTGGACGTCTAACACACTCAAAAACGGAGTAGCCCTTGATAAAATAGAGAAAATCTCAAGACTCTGCCTAAGCAGAAACAACCGTGAATAATATTATGTTTCAAATGTTCAGAACTTAAAGCAGATAACCAGAATAACACTTAGTGCCTGCAGTTATCAAACTGTAAAAACTGTTATTAATATGTAATATTCAACCTTGTTACTTTGGAGTCTTCCCCGCCGTGATGGTATATAATTCCGTTTGGTTCATGTCCGTGGTCGGAAGCCATCATAGCGGTGCATTCACTCATTCACTCATCTCTCTGAAACATCAGTGAGCGATCAGCGATACAGCAATGAGGTTCTCTGTGTTAAGTTTAAGTTAGTTTCTCAGTAGGAATTCCTCATAACAGACGATAAAACTAACCTGATCTTGCTCGTTTAGTGGAGAAATATTTTGAATCTACAGATATTATCAAGTCCGATACCGCTATGATAAAATGTCTCGGACAATTTAGAACCGCGAGCTGCAAAACGCTAACACTGGAGAGACCCTGCACGAGCTCATATTAACTCTCTTAAGCAAAATACAGTTAATTCCAAAATTGATTCATAGATGTCTCCATTGCCCATATAAACAAATGTTTGCAACATTCATTCATATCAATGCAAGGTAATGACACATCGTACGGACAATCATAATAGGTGGCTCTTCTTATTTATCTACCTATGCACATGTTTTCTGATTGTATGATTAATTTTATCAAGCAAATTTATCACATGTACACAGAGTAATATTCCTATCATATACCATTGTATTTGCTTTGCGCAGCGAAAGTTATGTTCTTCTTTCTAAGTTACCAATCTAACATATCAACTATCACTCATTGTTTGTATACATTTGATCTTTCATATTGCTCGTACACAATATAAGAATATGAAATTATTTCCATGTACTTTCTGGCTTTCGCTCAGTTTCTTCACCCTAGTAGGCGACGTTTGAATCCTTTTTTGCATACATTTTTTTCATATTAGCTTTAAACGTACGTGCACCCTCTTTAAAAACGATTTTCCCAACAGGTTTGCATTACACACAACAAACCTAATTTTATTCGCACATATCTAAATGTCATTAAATGAATTAAAAATTTTCTCTAGGAATGTTTTCATTAATGTGATAAGTTTCGCTATGTTTAGTTAATGTGATAAGTTTTACTATCAGATATGTTTGCTGTTATGTAATATACTGAATTTAAGCTTTTCATGTATTTTTCAGTGTTTCGACTATCCAAATTATTTCCGCATCGTATTGACAGTCCCAGAAGAAATTATGGTGGAAGCATGCGAACGCATAAAAGAATTCTGCACCAACCACTATACTTTAAACACTCCTACTTCAACTGCTAACACTGACTTACTGTTAAATGTGCAAATGCTTCTTCAAGTCTGATGCCATTCTGTGCTCTCGGAGAGAATAAATTTTTCACCAATCATAGTTCAATATTTTGCTTGGACTTACAACGCTGATCTTTAGCTCAATATGCAAACTTCTTCGAATTCGACAGCATTTCATTTTATGTGGCAATGAATTCATTTTCTTCAACTCTGAAAGCACATTTTGTAGTACTATATTTAAAGTTCGTTTACTGAAGTCAAAATATTTTTTGAATATGTAATATTTCCTCTCAAGTATGTAATTCATTGAATAATCATGTTGTACAATAAAATGAACATTTTTTACAAAAAATGTGTTTACTCTTTTTACAGCTTAAAACAACCTTGACCAATATCGTAGCTTTGAGAATACCTTACTAAAAATATGCAAGGTTCAATTAGCAGTTGAAGTTGTTTATACAGTGAAATACACTTCTGAGAAACAAAAAATACTTGTTTGAGACTTAAAATCATTTGTATCCTTTTTTCAAGAAATTTTGCGCCTATCAAAATGTGACGGGGAAAAAAAAAAAACCGTCAAATTCTTTAGAACAGTGCGTTGGTCCAAATAATCTTTATATCTTAAAAATCAGGCAGTCTATGAGTCTACATCGCTCACAGAGTATCTTTACCTATTCACAACAGTAAAGTATCTTTTGATTTAAGAATTTTGAGATGAGTTTCTCGAGAAGTCATGAATAAAAGAACTTCACCACAGAATTCTTCAAATTTTCATTATTTTTGTTTCCGAATAACAAGACATTCTCATCAACTGGGTATTTGATGTCTTCAATCTAACCAGTCTTATATCACAATCTTTCCACCGACAGCGAGGCAGCCGATTTTTTGGGGCAGTTAGCATATCGGTCAGGTAGCCCCATTGACGAAGTTAACTTGGTCCAGATAATGCGCTCAAGACGAGTGCTGGAGGGGGGGGGTGCAAACAAATACTGGGCGAAGTCAATGGTGCAGTGATGGAAGAAGGGTGCAATGGAGGTGAGGAGAACAATTTCAGTTTCACATTTACAGACTTAGGCGCAATCAATAGCCATCCACAACGTGAACAATAAATCCGTACAATTCCAATAATTAGGACAGTGGCTAAGGCCGGTAAATGTTTGGCCTTATTTTCGGCTGTTAATCAGTTTTACTAAACAAAGTTCGCATGATTACTTTGATGTGTAATTTTCCGTTGGAAATTCTTTAACAAAGGCCTTACTTCTTACTGGCAGATGGCCATAGTATGCCTTGTTGCAGTTGTAGTAGTTACAACAAGTCTTGTCAAGACAACAAGTCTGTTTCAATACAGTTGAAACCTTTTGCTTCCTATCACGTAGAAGATTTTCCTTACAATCACTGTTTCGAAAGTCTTAAACTGTACCTTCAAATATCGCGAAAGATACTGGAAACATTTGTTTATGTCCGCTTCGTCTACAGGCCAAAAAATGGTACTTTCATTATAATCTGACAGAGACTAGCAAAGCAGTGAAACAAAATTAAAAAAAAAAAAAATACATAAATCCTACAGCAACATAAAACATATAGAAAAAAATTTCGGATGTAGAAAATTTATATTCAAAAATCAAATTCATTTATCACTTTTAAGGTTACCAATTCTTAAATACTTACAGCTGGGAAATTTATTCCTTTTTAACAGACTGCATATGCTTTTGATTGTTACAATATACTGAAATGATTCTCAACCAGAACAAAAGAACTCATTGTCTAACACTGATACTTTCGATACTTATTTGTGCAGCTGTTATCCACGTGAAAATATCAAAATGAGAAGGAAATTTGTTCAAGCATAAAAGAATAAATACGAAGTACTTTTAAATGGCCCGTATTTTATATATAAATGCTATTCATAATGATTTAAAACAAATTTGCTAGACAATGCTACCTTAACACTGCTCTTAACTTCTAAGCGAAAATTGAAGAATTTTCAAACTGGGGAAATTTTTATTACTGAACTATAGTAGTTCAAAAGACAAAGCATGAAATTACCTTGAGGGCTGCCATTCTGACACTGCTTTACTAGAAAACAATAGATGTTTTCTACTAAAGCAATTATAGATGCTTTACTAGCAATATTTACTTAGAGAAACTCGTTATAGATATGATTAGAATTCATTTGGGATGTCCACATCGCTAGTAAACAGGCGAAGTCACAGCAGATGCAATATAGTGACGTCGAACTTCTTCCTCTTACCCCTCCCCCTCCTACGAGAATCGCGTCGAGGATGAGTCAAACAAAGGGTTGAATTAAATATTGTTCAGCTCAGGACTCATTACTATTTTCCTGCAAAAAGTTTTCATGATAAAATCCGTTCTTATGATTACAATGATTTAGTAACATGCCAATGGCTCTCCTCAACAACTATATAATGTGAAATTGCAGTCTTTTGTATTTGTTATACCTATGTATGTATACTATTATTATTATTATAAGGGCACAGTCCCGATCCTCCTAGTAGGCCGTGGACTGGCCAGAAAAAAAAAAAAAAAAAAAAAAAAAAATATATATATCTATATATATATATAAGAAAAACGTTTTATCTAATCCAAAATCTGAGTTTCGGTGCCAAATTCCTATTCTACCTTTGTTTGTATTTATAATCTTCATTAATGTCTTTGCAAAATCTTTCAAATTTGAATAGTTTCTTTTAAAATCTTCCTTAAAATTCTATATTTCTCTCTTGCACTCGGGGTAAGCTTACATTCATGGACGAAGTGCCTGGCGTCCCCAAACTTATCACAAATTAAGCATTTATCATTATTCTGTAGATGAAACCGATTAAAATAAGCCGGAAACGCCCATGATTAGTCAGTACCTGATTTATATCAACATTATTTATAATATTCATCTTCTTGTTTAACTTTATGTTTTTCATTAACACCTTTTGTCTTATTTGACGACTCCCAGCAAAAATTGCATTGCGTATAAATCCAGTTTTCCATTTCAGCAATGGTCTTTCTTTTAATCTTGGATATAAAAATTATCGGTCCCATCCCGAAATGCTGCCATTTTAGCAAGGGTATCCTCTCTTCCGACAATTCTACTGTATGCTTGTATCATTATCTTATACTTGTTTTTATATCTCATTTATTCAGGGTTGCTTCTCATCTCTCTCCTGTTTATGCAATTATCTAAGGCGCCAACTAACTCGTAACTGCCTTTGTCATTCTATTTCTGTTTCTAGCCAAATCACTATCAAATTTCTAGCTTGTACTGGCTTTTTTGGTCTGCGAACGTAGGGTGCTGTCTCATCTTCAACTATCTAGATACATCTCTGTAATTCTAACATTAGATATATATATATATACTTTTTATATTACAAAGATGTAATCTATCTGCAAATTTAGTCAGCTACAATCTCTTTTTAGTTCTCTCCTGTAAGAATAAAGAAAAGTAAACTGCTCTACATGAGGTAGGGCCCCCGGCCCAGATACCCAGGTGCCAACTCCATTCTCATAAAGTGAAAGGGTTGAACTAGTCCTTCTATTTAATCCTGGGAAAACATGCCACCAAATTTAAAACATGTCTTAGATATTGAAATTAAAATGATAAATTCCATGAAGGCATGTCTCCTGAAAAAGGGGATTTTTTTCACATAGACGCGGAGAATGGCTAGTGAATATCAGCATTCTGGTCTGCGAACGTAGGGTGCTGTCCCATCTTCAACTATCTAGATATATCTCTGTAATTCTAACACTATCTAGATATATCTTTTTTTTTATATTACAGAGATGTAATCTATCTACATCTCTGTAAATTCAGTCAACTGCAATCTTTTTTTAGTTCTCTCTTGTAAGAATTAGGAAAGGTAAACTGTTCTACATGGGGTAGGGCCGTCGGCCCAGGTACCCACACCATTCCTAGAAGGTGAAAGGGTTGAACTGGTACTTCTATTTAATCCTGGGAAATACATGCCACCAAAAGAATGTCTTAGATATTGAAATTAAAATGATAAATTCCATGAAGGCATGTCCCCTGAAATGGAGGATTTTTTCGCACACACGCGGAGAATGTCTAGTGAATATCAGGAGCTTCTTTTACATGCAGAAGTGCATTGGTTTTCGAGGAGTCTTAATGAGACTATTTGAACTTAAAGATGGAAGTGTTTGTGTTTTAAAATGACATCGATAGCGATAAAATATTTTTACATTTTTTAACTGACGAAGAATGAAGCTTAAACAATATTTTTCTCAAATTGAATGAGTTGAATTTGTCTCCAAGGAGACTGGTGGAGAATTGGTAATTGTTTTCAAGGAGCTGAATTGAGTAATTTTTGGCTAAGTTTGAAATGAATGTCAAGAATTACCTGATGAATTGTAAACGTATTATTACCATTTGCCTCATCTTACATGCGCAAATGGGATTTTCCTATCTAAATGGTAAATACGAAACAAATGAACAGCACAAAGACCTTTAAGATGAAAACTGAGCAAAATAAGAGCCAGAAATATCATTATTTGTTAACAAGAAACAGGCTCAGAGGTATCATTAAATGTTTTCTTTTTGCAGCTTCAGTTCTTACATATTATACACCTTTTTTTGATTTTGATTTATAAATGATTAATGTTAGGCCATTTTTCAAATAGGGTAAAACAGTTTTTCATTATAAACAATTTTATATCTATACTGATTTTTAAATAATTGTTTATCATTGCCCTCAGAGCACGCTACTGAACTGACCTATACTTAAATTTATTATACACATTTTACTTAGAATTAACAACAGCAGAATTACAGAATGCACTTGAATGAATGTTAAAAAGCAGCAAAATCGAATTATTGAGGCATAAACAGAAAGAGCTGCATGGTTCTCTTTGTGACCACCCTATAAAGACTAAATAGCAGGGGAATGAAAAAATGGACTCAGTCTTTGAATTTAATAACTTAAAACAAAATGTAATTTGTATGAAATGGGGTGTGAAAAGGAAAAAAAGGTAGTAACGGTAACGTCTTCACCTGTTTGGCGTGTAATAAAATTGGAACAAAAAATGGCTGTTTATTAGTAAGAGATAGTAGGAGTATTTACAAATTTACACAGATATTTACAATTGTTACGCATCCAACAAATACCTTCATATTTGGTTTAAATATTTTCTGTCACAACAGGCAAAATTAAAACAGCTTGATCTGTAATTTATGAAAAAATCAACTAGACACTATTCAGAAGCGCGACTCTGTTGAAAATTCTTCGGCCGGTCTTTGAAAAAGACCAAAGAATTTTCAGTTACTTGTTTTATTGTACTTATTATGTTATAGTAGTGAATTTTCTTTTAGTTCCAATCTTGCGTGTCTTC